TTTCATTTCGATCAATTTACGTTGGCCTCCATATTTTGTCTACATGTGTGTGTGTGTGTGACTGACCGAATGTCTGTTTTATTTATGGCTTTTACGAGATGACCCAAGGAATAAAAAAAAAAAAAAATTTATTCATTGAAGTTTTTACAGTCAACTACACCTTTTCAATGTGGATAAAGATGAGCACGCGTTACGCTTACTCTCCTTCTCCCTCTCTCTCTCTCTCTTTCTCTCTCGCTTATTCTCTGTTTGCTTGCGCCTAGTTTTTCTCTGTCCAACTCTTGTGCTGTTGTAATCATTCATACTTCATCAACTTGACCGACTCCATGGCCCGGCTTGGCTTAGCTTAGCTCTCGTGCCGTGCCTTCCTTTCTTTCCGCCTGCCTGCGGTAGGACAGAGCCCGTTGGCTTCATTGCTATGCAAACTGCTCCCAATGGCTACGTTTAATGGTCAAGTGTGTAAAATTGCATAGCAAATCGTAGTCCGGTTTTAGCGATGGATGTGCCCATGTCCTTAGATAAACATCCTTTGCCTAGGACCCAAGCAAGAACCGTTCGCTTTTTGCTGTTGCTGCCTCTCTTACATATTGATGTGATTTACCACTTATGTCTTTGGGGCGTCCAACAGTTTACTGTGCAAATTGTTTGGAATTCAGTTTTGAATTAAGCATCCCTCATCTTCTCGTCCAGTCCGTTGGCTATGATACATGTGCCAAATGTGTAATGCCCGTTAGAGAAGTCAGTGGAGGGCAGAGGGAGTCCGAGGAGTCGGAGTCGTTAGCTTACGTGTTCTGCTTTTGCTCTTGACATGTGGCCCAATCGCCATTCAAAATATATATTTTCGAGGCCGCTAGCATCGATTTGATGGATTTTGAATATATCCCTGAAATAAGTTGCTGCTGACAGTCTCTTCCACCACACCCACTTTTCATCAGGCCAGCAATTGTCCTACGTTGCGGATGCTGTCCTGCTCCTGCACAGCTGAGTTGTTATAGTTGATTTCATTATAATTTCGATTTGCATAAGCAAATGTCTAAGCAAACGACTCGGTGCTCCGCAGCACCCGCCTCCAGCTGTTGTGCTGCCCAGTTGCGTCAAATTGAATCGCTCGGGATTTCCCTGACATCGTCAGGAGCGACAGTTCATCAGCAGCAGTTGAAGCAGGAGCGACTGGCCCATGCCGGGCGGTGGTTAGGGCATTCAACTGTTCGTCAAGTTACGACAGTGTATCAATTTTCGGCTCGGGCTACCTTTAACCCGCCCGCCCCCTGCCAGCAATCGACCCACCTATTCTCTATTGCCAAGGAGCTGCTCACATTTCATTAGCTTGTCAACATTTGTGTAGCTCGGGCCATGTCTTTGACACTTCGGCCGGCGGCGTTGGTGGGGATTGGATGGGATAGGACAGCAAATTGAAGTTGCCATAGATGCTACATTGTTGCTACTGTTGTTGCCTTAAATAGTTAAACTGCTTAGCGAGGACTGCTGCTGCTGCTTCTGCTGCTGCGTACACATCTTGCGATTTCCTCCATCGAAGCTCAAAAGCAGACTACGGTCATATGCTGTATTTAGCCAAGGACTTGTCAGGAGCGGCCGCTCCATTTGGTTGCTATGCAAATCAATTTGCCTAGCACGTTGCCGATGTGGCTATTTGTCTACTTTGTGTGGTTCAAGTTGCTGTAGCTGTAGCCGTGGCTCTTGCTGTTGCTGTTGCTTTGTGCTGTCTCATTTTGCTGTGCGAAATGTTACTTGGCAGGTTCATTAGTATCATCAACAGAGGCATCGGAGGCAGTAACAACAACAACAGCAACAGAAACAACAACCGCTTTGTTTAGTTAACTTTATTGAGTGTTTGAACTTTGATATCCAATTTTCTTAACTTCATCTGGCAGTGTGGCTGTCCGCTGCCCCGCCTCGTCTGGCCGTCTATTAGCCAGGCTCTCGACTACACTTAATTTGCTTTAATTGCCATAATTTAGGCAATGCTTTTGTTGTTGTTATTGTTGTTATTGGACTGCTTTGGTTTGTCCCATGCAAATTTAATTGACGCACACTTTTAAAGCTTATAAATTACTTGACTTGCGTCAGCAGCTAGCAGCCAGCAGCAGCCAGCATCCCTGGTAACAAGGTACACAAAGAACAAATCCTTTGAACAAAGCAAACGCATGAATAGAAATCATAAATTTAGCTAGCAGCCATAAAAAAGGATATCAACCTACAGCTCCCCTCCCTCCAACACACAATGTAAATTCTCCTTTGCATGTGTGTGTGTGTGTGTGTGTGTGTGTGTGTGTGTGTGTGTGTGTGTGTGTGTCTGTGTGCTATCGATATGCCAAAATCTATACAAAGTGCTATACAAAGGCAACGACTTCCAGCAGGTGGGCCCGCCTACTTCAACCGCTGCTGGCTAGAAAAAAAAAAAAAAAAAAAAATACACGAAAAATCGCAGCACGTAGAGCGCCATGAAATATGCTCAGATTGCTTGGCATTTTCCCTACACTCATATGTGCACGTGTATGTGTGTGTGTGCTGCCATTTTATTTATTTTGCTGCCGTTTGCTTCATTGTCAAGCAGAGCAAATTTTATTAGGCAGTCGCCTTAAAGCATGCAACAGTTTTTGGCAACAAGCAGACAACAGCCAATTAGACATAGGCAGAGGCAGCCGCAGCCGCAGCAGCAGCAACAGCGGCAGCAACTGGTTTCAACTCCTGTTGCGCCGTTGTTGGCTGTTGGCATCGTGCCAGCAAAGCTTTATTGTAGTTTAATAGGCAACGACGACGCCAGCGACGCGTCTGCCGGCATTGGGCTGGAGGAGGCGCGGCATATTTGTAACTGCTCGACTTTTCACGCATTGCTTTCAAACCACTTAACGCAAATGATGTTGATATAGCGAAGGGCAACTTTTTTGTTAGGCAGCTTTTGTTTTTGTTTTGTGTGTTTTTTTTTTTTATTTACCTTATTCCTTATTTTTGGCAAAACTTTGTGCATAAACACACACTTGCCATAACGTGGCACGCTCCACATTTGTGCTCTGGCTCGAGATTGTTGTTGTTCTTGCGCTACTTTCGCTTTTCCTAAGAGTAGGCAACAACAACAGCAACAACAACAACAGCAACAACAACAACAACAGTGCTAGCGAGCTGCAAAGTCGTTGAGCGCTAAAAGCAACGCAAAATGTAACAGAAGAAAAAAAAAACGTAAAATTTTTCTACAACTTTTGCCCGCTGTTTGCGTGTGTGTGTGTGTGTGTGAGCGTTGTTAGAACAAGTTAATGTAAAAAAAATTTGGATGCTTTGAAAAACATTTGGCAAGCCAAAAATTGTAAAGAAAATAAAAACAAGAAACAAAAACAACAAGTAGAAGAAGCTGAGCCCGCATAGACAAGCTGAAAGCCGAACAGCGAACAGCGAATGGCATGAAAATTGTTGCGGTCGCTGTTCTTGTTAAACAAAATACACGAAAGCGCATAAATAAAATCAAACAAAAAACCGAACCAACTCTCGTTCACATCATCAATGTCAGAAAGGTATCGGAGAGGGGTGTGTGGGGGGATGCTAAAGATGTAGATGACGGTTGGTGTTGGGGTGGCTCGCATTGTCGAGCTATGAGAACCCGCACATTATCGTCATCGTCATGGATCAGCCGCAATGCTGTAATTTTGTTATAGGCAATGCCACGTGTATGTGTGTGTGAGTGTGGGTTGTGTGTGTGTGGGTTGTGTGTGTGTGGGTGCACAACCTGGGCTGTCGTTTGGCAAGATAAATGTCTATTTAAATTGTCCCTGTTTCGCTATGTGCCTCGGCCGACTGCTCGGGGTCGTATCGTGCCACACGGCGTGCCACTCGCCTCTCGCCTCTTGCCTCGTGCCCCGTTTCATGGCAGGGCTTTGTGTCTAGCGGCATGCCGCCTGCTGCCACTTCACGAGCTCCTCTAGTTAAATCTTTATTGTTATCATAATTTGCTTTTATCCATGCTCAGGGCTTGTCACTGACTACCCCGGCAACCTGGGCCTAACCTACTTACAACAAGTCTATATATATAAATATATATGTACATATATCTATATACATATATATTTTTATCGTAATTGTTTTCGTGCATCTTGTGTTTTCTTTTTTTTTTTTTTTTCTCCTGGCTCCCAATTTCGTTTGTCAAAAGCGGAAAGCGAAACGAAAGCAAAAGCGAAAGTGAAGAGCGACAAAATGGTGCGTAAATAGCATCAGGATCTCCGTTTCGCTCCGCTTGTTTAGCATCTGTGCTTTGCTTGCTTAGCAAATCAATAAAAGTAGATAATTGAGATTTCTTTAACAAGATTTTGGGTGTCATGATATTAAAATTATAAGTAGGCAGCACAGAGTAGGCAGCGGCATAAATTACTCATAATTTGATTGCAAGTGAGACCTTGAAAATGATACGCCTCGGGGCTGCAGACTAGCGACAAGCAATGTCTGCTAACGGTTTGGGAAATAGGCTCATTACGCGCTAAGAAAATGTCAAAATTGTGGAAATTTAATATTGTCAAAAAGAAAGAAAACAAAAAAAAAAAAAAAAAGGAAAACAATTTACGTAATTACACAAGTTCTAGGAAAAAATGAATAAAATAGGGCAGAAACACATCATATAAATATGCTCATTAAAATTAAGATATTTTTAATTTGTATGACCTGTTTATAGAAATATTATTTATTTAATTTGTTGGCTTTTGCTCGTAAGCAAAACAAATATAATAAAATATTTACATATTAGTGATTAAATTTAAATATTTGCATTTGATATTGTGTGCTCTTTAATTACATATATATATATATATATATATATATATATATATATATATATATATATATATATATATATATATATATATATATTTATTATTATAAATATATGTATACATATAGGGATTTGATGTCCAGTTGTACACTTGTTTTTTCTAGACTTAAGCGCTCCATAATATTTGCAATAATTATTAATAAACTTCTCTTACTTACATCCATTTCAGGTAAGGATCGATGAACAATTACTATATAAATTTAATCATTGGGTAAGCCGCTATGCAAACATATCAAGTGTAAACATAGACTGCAAAAACTGTTTCTAGCCACACTGAATTGACAGCATCCAGCATCCATCCTGCCCCCGGATTGCGTAAGGCAATTGTTGTGGGGCAGATCGTGTGCTGCATAATTGAATTTTAAATAAACTACCTCAAATAATGCACACACACAGACACACGCGCACACATATGAGCACACACACACACACACACGCACACTCACGTAGTAAGACCCTTTGGCCAAAAGTGTCTGCTTTTTAACTGTAAATAAATTTCATCGAATTTTCTTGTGCTCCTTTCGCCTTTGAAGACGTTGATATCGTTGCGAGGCAACGCTGCTGCGCCCTGTGTGTTCAGCCGCATCCGGCGCCATAAAGTATGCAATTTTATTTTAGTGCACCCGGCCGGCACTTACCTGCCCGACTCGGTGGCCTCCTGCTCCTCCTACCCCTGCTCCTGCCCGTTGCGCCTTCTCTCTGCTCCTTTATTTGTTGCTTTAATGTTATAAAATATTTAAGTTTACATTTCTTACACACACGCTTCGCAACTTGATCCTGCCTCCTGTTTATGGCGCCGGCAAAAGATTTGCCATGCTGTAACTATATATATATATATATATTTATTTAAGTGTGTGTGTGTGTGTGTGCTTGTGGCTGTGTATGTTGTTGTTTTGGTCTCGTTGCATTGCATGAGTTGCTGGCTGACCATTTTTATAACAGGATTTCCTAGCAGCATCTTAGCCGGGCAGCCAGTCAGCTCAACGGCTTGCCACTTGGCAGTGGCCCTACTGTCAGGAGTCAACCACATATTCGCACACACATTCACATACACATACACATACGCACATGTGTTTGTTCAGCTTTAATATTTGTTTTGCCATTGTCGTCTCTGACCCCAACTGGCCTGCACACTGGCTATTTGTGCAGCACTTGAACCTGCGTCTATGATAAACTGCAATTTCATTTTTATCCGCAAATATAATTAACTGACAGCCAGACAGACAGACAGACAGGCAGGCAGGCAGGCAACTATGTGGAGTACGCTCTTCACTTACATTTTATTTAAAAGTTTAATAAGTCAAGCAAGTAATGTGCAGCCATTAGATAATTAATTTAACACTTATCAAACCCCCTTGCAGTCTCTTACAACTAATTGGCTTTCATTTGCCAATTCAATCAGCAAAAAAAAAAAAAAAAAAAAAAAAAAAGAGAAAAATTGAGCAAAAATAAAAAGAAAGGAAAGACATGCTTCAGAGGCAGACGAAGTCGACAGACGGCGGACGGCGGACAGACTTAAGTGGAAAGTCAAAGTAAAACTGAAAGCAAACGTGCAGAGAGATATCAGCTGTTGGCTCTTCGTGCCCGACTCCTGCCAAGTCATTAATGCTATTTGCGGCACATTTAGGGTTGAACTTGGCACCGTTTAGTTCAGTCCGAGGCCAGAGCTTCTGACCTTAACACAAAACGCTTCAATGAACCGGTCAAATGGTCAAAAGGTCGGACAGGTGGAGTATGCTGTGGCTGTGGCTAAATCACGGAAGCTGGGCAAATTAATGTGGCTGGTAAAAAGGGTAATTTCTGTAGCCAGGAAAATAGACGCAAAGTTAAACGAGCCAACGTAAATGACCAAAAGCCATATACCCTGGAAACTTTTTTCATTTTTCTTTATTTTATCCAAACAGCTACATTAACACATAGGCAACCCTTTAAAAAAACTTTGCAGAATATCTAAAAAAAAGTAAACTTGTTGCGTCTTCGAAATGGAGTGAGTTGAGCACAAAGGCGAAAATAGACAGGGAAAAATATCTGCCTACCTTTGCTTTAATTTAGCTTATATTTTTATTTCGCTTAGGAACTGGTGCCATTCATTAAGAACGTAGCAAAGGCCTGTCAAAAACAACAACAACAACAACAACAAAGTAAAATAGGTGAAAAGGTAGCCAAGTTACTAAAACACAAAGGGGCGCTAGAAGCGCGTTTCGCGGCGCCGTTTGGCATTAAACTCATTAACGATAATTGCAGTGGTGCGCCGGCTTTTGAAAGAATTAGATTCTGTTAATTAATTTTCGCATGTAGCTACAACAACAACAACAGCAGCAACAGCTGAGAAATCTCGTTAGCACTAACATTCGTCAATGTGGGCAGGAGCTGAGCTTGTTGTTGTCAATCAGCAAATGCGAGTTCTTCGACGCATCCTTGCAGCCATTGATGCTGCTGTGTTTGTCACTTTGACTTTTGGCGCTTTTCAATTACACCGCACAAAAAGTAGAAGAAGAAGAAGAAGGAGCAGCAGATGGAAAAAAGTCAGATGGAAGCTAGCGAAAAAGAATGAAAAAGCCAAACACCGCACCGACATAGCATCCTGTTGCTGACACTGATTGTCGATGCTGGCGGTGCTCAGTTCGCGTAACGGGCGCATAATTTGTCCTGCGGCCAAATGTTCTATTATCTGTGCTGTGCGTGTGTATGTGTGTGTGTTTCACTTGTGCGTAGAAATAATATCCATCAGGGAAGCGCACTCAAAAGATGCCTCAGATACGAGCCGCAGGCATTTAACTGAATTTGAGAGGGAAATAAAAGCAAAGTAAATCGAAACCAAACGCCGCTATAAAGGAGCTGCTGCTCCTGCTGCTGCTTCTGCTGCTGCTCCTGCTGCCTGTAGACAGGCCCTAATCAGCATGTACATCAGTTGGTGCGACCCTTCGGGGCACTCCACTTTTCACATCAGCTTGTTTTGTTGCTGCCTGCTTGCCACGGGCTTTGGTCAGTGCAGCTTAGTGAAAAGCAAAAGAAAAACAAAAAAAAAAAAAAAAAGAGAAATATACCCTTCACTCCAATTGTAATCAAGTTAATTGCAGCCAAGTGGAGCGAGCGAGAGCGGAGAGTAGGAAGAAGTGTGTGCGATAGAGCTCGCATAATTGTGAGTAATTGTTGTTAATATAATAAGGTAGGACAAAAAGGACACATGCATAACGGCCAAAAGCACGCAACGATATTATAAAAGCGCAAACACTGAAAAATATTACAAGACAAAAAAAAAATAAAATAAAACAAAATAGAAGAAGGCAAAATGAAATAAAATACTAAAAGCACAACAACATTAGGCTTTCGCTCTGTCATAGGCAAAGCTGAAAATTGATATTAATTTTTCTTTTTGCTGCGCTACGCGTGGAATGCCCATAAACCAAGAAAAAGGCAGTTAGCTGTCTCTGTGTGAGTGTGTGTGTGTGTTAGTGTGGGGCACAGACTTAAAAAAAACCAACAACAAATTTGTTCTTCCTATTTTGTGTCTTTGCACCGCAGCGTCAAAGTTGGCTCTTGTCATTAGGGGGCTATGCCAGCCAGAAAATATCAAATTAATTAGTTGCTCTTTGTCGTCACGCTTCTGCAGCATGACGAACTTTGAATAAATAAAATGGCAGCAAAATTAATAATGCTAAGTATTGTCAGCAATTAAAATTTATGTAGGAAAATGAGCTTAGCACAGGCGGGAAAAATATGTTGAGAGTCATCAATTGAAACTTGATTTGTGGCTGAATTTATTTATTTGAATTGATTATTTTTAAATTATTATTATGTATTTGAGGTATTAGATATTTGTAATAAATATTTGATGTCTGATATGTGATAAATTATTTTATATTAACATTGTGTTTTACATTTAAAAAAAAATATTTACTGTTATTTTTATGAACTGCAAAAATTAGATTTTTTATTTTTCACTATCTTTCTCATTTCTGAAAGGGAGGGGGGATTAGTCTTTAAATAGATCTATTTTGCTATATATCTTCATTACCAGACAAAGGCCCATGGTGTTAGTAAGAGTTAATTTTATATTTATATATTGTAACTTATTAATAAATCAAATATCTTCATTAATTAATAATTAGTTTATTCATTTTATTGTAATAATATAAAAAGTGAATATAATTTTAAAAAATAGTTTAACTATTCCGTTTGTAATATTACAATAATAAATATTATAATATTGCAACAATATATTTATATATTTAGTACAATACAAGTGAAATAAAAAACTTTAACTATTAACCAATTAGTCAATTTATCGTCTTGAATATTCACTCAACTCTTAAACATTATCATTTGCCTGCTTTTTTTAAACCCTCATTTGATTCATCTCATTCTCCGCATTTCCGAGTGGATGCAATGTTTGCTCAAGCTATGCTAGACTAATTAGTTGTTTGTTTTTGGTGCATCTAGTGTGTGGCACTTGTAATTTATATTGTTGGCCAAGTAATTATAAATATATTACTCTCCACTCTGCATACTGTCTCTGCTCTGCTGCGCCCCTGTGCCAAGGGCCACTTAATTATAACTGTATTTGCTTAGAAGCGTTCTTTATAGGCTCCTTGATTTATGTCGGCCAGCGCCCACTTCAGACTTCAGTCGACAGTTTATCAAGCTCTGCGGCGCAAGCTGTTTATCAAGCTGAAGTTGGCAACAACAGCTTGGGCCAATTGTCATGTAAAGCCAGATAGAGCCAACAAATGTAAATAGAAAATATAGAGCCAGGCATCATTTTGTCGTCTCGTCTGCTCGGCCTGGCCAGGCCAAGGACAGCTGAATAAGTGGCCGCAGGATATGTGTCTTGGCTTTGTCTTTTGGCTTTTGGCTTCGCCTTTACCTTTTGCTTTAGCTAAACGCTTGAATGGCTTAATTATATTTAGTTTTTGTAATTAACCGTAAATCACAAGTTGCCCGGGCATAATTAGATTTCCACGGCGCACAAAAGTACGCAGCAAGTATTGTTGTCTCCCATTTGTTTTGCGTATGGCTGGCTTGCAACAAAACAGCACAAAGAGCGAATGAAAATCTGTTCATTGTTTCAAGTTTTGTTGGCTGCTTAATAAAATTTAACAGCTGCAACGACGCGCTGCATTAAAACCAAGCAAACTATTTCAAAGCACACAGAAAAAAAAAACAAAGAAAAAAAAACAACTCAAAAAAAATTGTGAAAAAGAAATGCAA